CATTTTGATTTATCATAGGTCTCGAAAGAGGCTTATACCAAGACTATGGTGCTGGTCTTTCATAATTTTGATTACTAGTTTGACCATTGGTATGTCCATTACTTTGCATAGGCTGTTTATCTCTTGTCAATCTTTGCTGAGGGACATTTGAAATTTCCTCCGTATGCCTTGTGTTAGTTGGCTGATAGGTATTCATCCGATCCATAAAGGATATTGCCCATCTTTCCATTGTGTTCATTAACTGTTATCCCATGGCATCTACTACGCCTTCCCATGGATTCATTGGTTGAGTAGATGGAACAGTGGATGGTCCAATTCCATGGCCTCGTCCAATATTTTGAACATGTGGTACTTGTTCCGAAGTGCTGGTCTATTCGACCATAGGTTCTGATAGGACAGGTACTTCCACAGGATGCACATTATCCTTTGGATTAGGTATTTCTATCTCTCCTTCCACACCTTCTTTCAGGCGTTCATTTTCTCCTTGTCTCCTACATCTAGCCATTTTAATTAGCCCCACTAGGCGTGCCAAAAATATATATTGGCTTTTTTGGCTTTCAAAGGTTAGTATTGTGATTTTTAAGCATGCCAACAAGAATCAATCAGTCCTTACAGAAGATTAATTGCCAACCAATTATCAGATGATTGTGTTTTAGTTCTTTCAGCCTCAATGAAGAGGACTTTTACTGGTGGCTTGTTTAGGAGAATTTAGTAAACAACAATTAAGTGAAGAAAATCGCAGAATTTCATTAAGTAAAAATGAAAAACTTATAATGATCTGACCCAGCCTCGTAAAGGTTTACAGCAACAAGCTATTTGAAACTACTCCTATGAATGAAGTGCAATACAGGAATTTGAAGTACATAAATGTAAAGAATTGTAAAACTGGAAAGGAAAATAAAGTAGATAAAACTGATTTCTGGATCTGAGTCTCTCTTTTTCCTTCTGGGGCCTTCTCTGCTATTTATATTTCTCAAAGATAACCGTCGAAATGGACTTCTAATCGTCGAAACATCCCTCCATGATCGCTGATCATGCTCTCTCACAGTTAACTCCACTACACCATGTTTGCAGTTAGGCTTCCCTCCTGATTTTGAATTTGAACCTTGTGAGTAACCGTTAGGCCACATCACCTTATAATCCTCAATCATTTTAGTGTTACGCAGACCCATTATTACCAGTATGAGTTGATACGTGTCTGACTATGGTTGGCGATTTATATTACCTTCCCAAATTGCCCTTCTCGTGCCACGTGTTGAATCGTGATTGGCTTATACAATTTATACAACCAACAGATATACATTGCAGTCTTTAGAGCTTCACCCCACAATAAAATGGGTACAATTGAGTAACTTAACATACTGCTAACCATATTTTTAAGTGTACGATTATGCCTTTCAGAAATTCCATTCTACTATAGCGTACCTGGCATTGTATATTAAACATGAATGCCTTTCTTTTCCAAGAATTTGGCAAATGGGCCAGGATTTTGGCCTGACTCGTCATATTTACCATAATACTCACCACCTCTGTCTGATCTCACTATTTTAACTTTTCTATCTAATTGTCTCTCGACTTCAGTTATGTACACCTCAAGGATGTCAACTGCTTGAGACTTTTCATGAATTAGATACACATATCCATAACACGAGAAATCATCTATAAATGTGATGAAATATTTTTCACCACTAAGACATAGGATGTTGAATGGCTTGCAAATATCTGTATGAATTATCTCAAGAAGTTCATTACTTCTTGTGGCACATTTTTTGGTGTGTTTGGTTTGCTTTCCTTTGATGCAATCCACACATATCTCAAAACCAGTAAAGTCTAGGTTTTCTAAAATCCCATTCTTTACCAATTTTTCAATTCTATTTTTAGAGATATGCCCCAACCGTCTATGCCATAAGATTGAAGATTTTTCATTAATTAGACCACATTTTAAACCAATATTTGAATGCAGAGTTACTAATGATTGTGCAAACTCATGATTTAAGGTAATTTTATATAAACCATTACATAAATTACCAAAAACAATTATTATTGAATTAAACATCAAATTGAGTTTTCCACAACTAAATAAAACTGAATATCCAATACGATCTAATTTGGATAACGAAACTAAATTCCTAAAAATTGAAGGAACATAAAAAGTGTCTTCTAGATCCATCTGATGACCCGTCTCTAAGATCAGTCGATAGGTTACTACAACTACGACTTCAGCTTTGAGACGGTTCCCCATATAGACAAATCTTTCACAAACCTTCGGTTTTCTAGTTGAGAGGGTATCCTTACATAAGTCCAACCACCTTAGATATCAATCTATCTTTTTGACAGATCTTAAGAGGTATTAACACAAGTCTCATAAGTAACGCGGAAATAGGCATAAACAATATATATATATATATATATTAAAGCTTTGAGAATTATAATGATGGACTATTGATATCACATAAGTCTTTCCTTTAGGCAAAACTTAGGTATATCTATTGTCCACTTGTCAAGAATCACTTATGTAGGTCTAAAGTAATTTATGCAACTTTTCAGTTAGTCATGTTACATTTGGGTATTCAATTCTAATCTGTCAAATTACATAAGTTACATTATCCTACCCAGTTCATAATTATTTGAAAGTGACTCTCCTTTGGGTTAGTCTCAATCTCCTAATTATAACTGCAATTGAGAATATTATCGACCTTAATGTTACTCTTTTAACAGTTCTTTTATGTAGTTCTATATTCATAAGTTTTACAAATCTAGGTTACTTTGGCAGCTACTAAATTAGTAAACGTTATGAATACGGAACTAACTAACAATATTCTCTATTCATTAATTTAAGTTATTTAATTATCATTAATTCAATCACTATTTTAATGAAATTACTATTTATGATTTCTAGAATTTCTTTTATGTGATTTCAATTACCAATATAATAATAATAACTCTAGACGAACAAGAATATATATATATATATATAGATATAGTAAATTATGCAATATGACAACCATGAATATCTCATATAATGGTCCATAAGAATTACACCTAATATGAATTAATCACTTCAATATTTAATATTCAATGTCATAAAATTATATCATGACATCAAATTTAAATCATGAAAATATATAAATATCAACAATAATAGACAATAAGTGTTCATAATTAGACAAGGTAAAAACATATTTATCTAACATAATACAGTCAAATAAATATATTTATTTAATAGATCGAACGATTCAACAAATTCTAAAATTGCTTTTAATTTATGCACTTTGTCATAATGGTAGGTAATATAAATATTACACTTAATTCAGTGTCATATTATAATGATTATAAAAATTATTATTGCTAAAATTAATAATAAATTGAAGCATGCATATTACACATTTGTCAACAGTTCTCTTTTAAATACCCTAATGCATCCTTCACTTTCAGGTTTTTTTTTTTTTTTTTTTTTTTTTCCTTCACTTTCAGGTTTTTTTTTTTTTTTTTTCACTTAAATATGTGTATATATTTGTAATGGAAGGCTTTGTCAACTGCCAAATCTATTTTCTTTTTGATGGGCAAAAGATAATATTATGATAAAAATTACATAAGACATTTTCAAGAAACTATCATTAACATTCTTTTTTTGATAATAAAAACAGACGTACCGTTTTATGAATAATTATAATAATAATATTCATAAAAATATTATTAATCCAAGGTGTATTGATTCACAAAATTAAGGCTCTAATACCACATGTAAAAAATTAATGTACATATAACCATAATAATAATGCAGGATTGAACTTTGTAGGATTTTGAATTCAATACAACTCAAGAATAAAACGAACATACCTTTGTGAGCCATTGAATTAGAGAAGTTGAGAAAATATCCCTAATAGTTGAACGTTGAATTCTTGGCTCAGCTTTTTCTCTCTATCTCTCTTAATTAGGATGACTATAGAACTTAGAGTGATGGAAAAATGCTCATATTATGTAAGGGAAGTCATCCATCCTTATATAGAGGAGAAAAAAGGGCCAGATAAACCTATTAGAAAAATTCTTGTCCATCAATGTTTCCTTCTTATCTTAGAAGAGTAATTATCCCATATTTAAAATTCTAATTACTGAACTTTATCTCAAATATTGGCTTTTTCTAGTTGTGGAGTTCAAATAAAATAAAATATGTGAAAGATATGTAAGCTATTGGGCCACACTAGAAAATAAATCCAACAGATGCAACATTAATACATAGGGAGAAGAAAGAATGCATATGAGGAACAAATGCAAATGGAAAGACATAAAACCCAAGAGCTTTTCGACCTGAGCTCTAATATCATATTAGATCACCACTACTCCCAAAAGTTTAAATTATTAAGAAATGATTCCAACAATGTATATCAAGCTATCCAACAATGATAACGTGTTTGTAGTTTCACATTCATATGTGCCACTGAACCTTAAATCAAAAAGAGTTGGTTTGCCATTTTGACATGCATCTGTTAGACCACCACTAGTCCTAAAAGCCTTGTTCCAAAAGCTAAATTTGTTGGGAAATGGATCCAACAATATATATCAAGCTGTCCAACATCCTCCTTCACATGCAAACCCTTTTTGCAAGTAGAGATGCAACATTCATACATAAAGAGAAGAAAGAATTCATATTAGCATCAAAATGGAGAAAAACTTGAACACATGCCTTCCTCTATCTAAGCTGTGATACCATGTTAGATCACAACTGGTTCCAAAAGCTTAAGCTGTTAGAAAATAGGTCTAATAATGTATATCAAGCTAAACAACTGCATTAACCATTGTCATTTGGTCCCTTTATGTGGATTTGTGCCTCCTCACCAATCAATTTACAACTATATTTTTGTAGAAGGATGATCTTTGTACATTAAATTGTGCTTCTAGACCATTTATTTGAAAATGCTATGTTTGATTATGTTTTGAACCTCGTCTTTTCATTTTCTCGTTGATTTATGTTGACTAAATTTCCCTCCATGCCCCTTTAGTTAGTTGAGAAGGATCCAGATACAGCCATAGTTTTGTTTTGGAAGGCAATAAATGCTGGAGATAGGGTAGATAGTGCTCTTAAAGACATGGCAGTGGTGATGAAACAACAAGATAGGGCAGAAGAAGCAATTGAAGCTATCAATTCCTTTAGACATTACTGCTCTAAGCAAGCTCAAGAATCATTGGACAATGTCCTCATTGACTTGTACAAGGTACGCACACAATGACTACTAATCGTGAGAAATAATAGTTTCCATTTGTTTGTCCTTTTTTGTGTTATTTGTTTTTTAATATGATTGCATTGTGTTTGAGATTTCAAGTAAATATGTTTTTGGTTTTTTTTGTTTTGTTTTGTTTTTTTTTTGTTTTTTGTTTTTTTTTCTCTCTTTTTTTTTTTTTTTGCCCTAATCATGAGAAAAAGTAAATGTATCTTGGGATTTAAAGGAATGATCTAATTTTGACTACCAATGGTGAAGGCTGCTTCCCCTTAGCATTTTCGTGACATGGGTTTGAATCACATAAACAAACTCTCCCAAAATGGGGCTAAGGCTTGAATACATCTCGCTCTCACCAGACCTAATTTAAGTCCGAGCCTTGTGCACTGGGTTGCTTTTTATTCATTCTCAAGGCGAAGTCTGTGTTGTAGACTAGAAAATTATGTGTGCATGTTCTACCTTGAACATGATAAATGAATGAAGTTTAGCTTTGAAAAACAAATTAGTATATATATATTTCCTAGGTAAAAGCTGCATTTTTTTATATTTTTTTTTAATTATAGAAAACTTTGATGTCTCATAATTTGCAAATCATATTTTGTATGGAACAAAGTTTGCTAGATTTGATCTCTAGAAAAAGTTAAGTTCTCAAATATTATTTTATCTTTCTCTCTCTTTTAGTCCCCATTTAAAGAACGCATAAATTTAAAACCTTGTTGTCGGCCTGAATGTTATAAACCATTAAAATTTAAAGCAAGCTACACTTATTAATTCCATATATCAACTTGTTTTCTTGTTATTTGGGCATTTATCCATGGAACATATTCATTTTCAAGACTTCCTTTTATTTATTTATTTTTTTTGTCCCTCAGAATATAATCATATATTGGATTTTGGTAGAAATGTGGGAAATTAGAGGAGCAAATTGAGTTGTTGAAGCAGAAGCTTCGGATGATTTACCAAGGAGAAGCATTCAATGGGAAGCCTACCAAGACAGCTCGTTCCCACGGAAGGAAGTTCCAGGTCACCGTCAAGCAAGAGACTTGCAGGATACTGGTACTCTATTAAATCACTTTTGTGCCAAATTACTACTAATCTAGTCACTTTAGCTATTATGATTGTGAAAGAGCTTCTTCTTTTCTTTTCTTTTCTTTTTTTTTGAAAAAAATTAAAGAATGGGTTTGTTAATGATAGAGCATTTGATTTGCAAGTCAATTAATTTTAAAAAGAACAAAAGAGGCAAGTATGATAGTCATTGTTACTCACCAAGTACTTACCCAAGTGAAAAAAAGGACAAACAATTATATCATAGTATATTGGACTAATTAGCAATAATTTTTGAATGCCGATTCTCTCCCGTTGGTGATCCCAATTGGAGGGTGCTTTTGGGACTTTGTGGGCCCATTATGCGGTCCATTATTTTATCTGAACCATTCACTTTTAGGGCCCTTAGGGCAAATTGGCCATGCAAAAAATAAAGTTGATTGGATAATTGTAGCCACATGATCAGATTACATTTGCTTTCAAAATCATGGAGGGTTTATTTTCAAAACTATACTTTCTCTCTATTTTTTGAAGACATATATAATCCGATCATGTGGTTGAAGTTATCCTATTAACTTATTTTTTGCATCAATGATTTGCTTAGATGATTGTAAAATATGAACATTTTGGATTATCGAAGTGGAGGTGGATCCACAAAAGCCCAAAAACACCCTCCAGTTGGGATCACCAACCGAGAATCAACATCTAATGGGAATTAAATTGGGCGTCCTTTTATTTTTATTTATTTATTTATGCTTTCGAGCTGCTGCATGATTCTTGGTCTATGATTTTTGTTGTATTGAGGTTTATTGGAAGTTGAAACCATGTTATCTGTATAGGTCTAACTTGTCTCTAGTCAACTGGGGTCTAGTTATGACAGAAGACGATGTTATCGGCACTATCACTGGTGTTGCTTCTTGCTTTCGAAGACCAAACACTTTCTAGTCATAGGTTTTATTTTATTTTTATTTATTTATTTTTTGTACGTGTAGACATGCATAGAATGAAATAGGAAAATGATATCCTTACACAATTTTTATACAAAATTCTTAACCCGAATGATATGGCAATAGAATTTTTGAAAATATTAGCCGCCTTGATGGGCCTTTATCTTTAAGTAATAAAATCAAAACTTGCCACATAATTTTCTATTAATTTTCTACTATGTTTTTATATGCATGCAATATAGGGCAATTTGGGTTGGGCATACATGCAACAAAAAAACTTTGCGGCTGCTGAGGTCGTATACCGTAAAGCTCAACAGATCGATCCTGATGCCAACAAGGCCTGCAACTTATGCCTGTGCCTAATCAACCATGCTCGATACGTTGAGGCGCGATCTGTTCTTGAAGACGTGTTGCAAGGTAAGATTTTAGGATCTGATGACCCAAAATCAAGAAACCGAGCAAAGGAATTGATGAAGGAACTAGAACCATCTCAACATGCAGTGTCATCTAGTTCTAGTCCTGGAAGATTGAGTTTTGAAGATGCTTTTGTTGAGGGGCTTGACCAATTGATGAACCAATGGACCCTAGTCAGGTCTAGAAGACTTCCTATATTTGAAGAAATCACACCATATAGAGATCAATTGGCTTCTTGATCTCTTTTACTTGTTTTTCTTTCATTTTTAATTTTTTAGAGTTCAGTGCTTGCATGTTTTGTGAAAAAGTGAGCATAACAGAGAGTGAATTGGGTTTTAAGTAGTTTTTGTCAAAACACTATTGAAGAAGGAACTGTATATGTTTTGTGTTCTTTGTGTTGGACACAACAGAGGTTATACCACTGCTTCTATACTCGTGAGGTGTGCCTTCCTTGGTTATGTTTAGGGAAATAATTTTTTGTACCAAAATCTTTTTATCTTCCATTCTAATGCATTTTCAGTTGTACAATTGTAACGCCCCGAAATAATTACTATAATCCATACTCAACATCAATAAGTGATCACAATGACAAAGTAGTTATCTTTCATTGATTTACAATTAAGTTTTACAAAAATGTGATAAAATAGAGAGACAAGATGAAAGTTAGACAAATAAGAAATGCTCTAAAGGTTTACATCTTTCCAAGACGATACTTGATTACAACAAAGGTGGACTTAAGTCCAATAAAGTTAAAACCCTTGGCTTATACAAAAATAAATATAGCAAATACACAATAGAAGCTCTCGCTCCAAATCCTTTCAAGCTATTGCCTTGGCGGAGACATATCATCAGCACTTGAAATGGTTTCTCCACATAGGGTCAAATCCCACTATAAATAATCCAACACAATATATGAATCTTAACAAAGCTATCAGGTGAATGCATATGCAATGCTCGTGCCAAAACATTTGTATATCTCTTTCCAAAACCATACAATGTCATAATAATATCATAAATCACTTCCTTTGGAATAAAAAGATAGGGTAGTGAATCACACTTTGGGAATTTCAAAACAATACAATATTTTCCGGATATTTCATCTAGAGGAAACCGTAAACTGGGACCTATGTAAACGTAGACTATACAAGAACTACTATTGCCATTTCATGGAAATTTCGTCCGCGGGATTGGCACCCATGTATACGCGAGGTTTTTAGGACTTTCACCATGGACATTCAGGCCAACTTATTTCAACATTACAATACATATTTCCCAGATTCACCCATTTTTCTCAAAACGATAAACATTTTCAATGTATAAGCGTGGGATAATGCTCAATGTAAATGAATGAGAAAATGGTTTCAATTCTACTAATTCACATGCAATTTTTACAACATTCATAGCTATCCTCCACCGATAGCCCAAACAGATATTTCTAAACAGATAAACAATTATCAATAAAGATAAACTCTTCATATTTTTCAGAGGTGAGTGATAATACATATCTAACTCCATTATCCTCATCAATATCAATCCAATTTCACAATTTCAATATCAATCTCATAATTTAAATAAAATCAACATTTAAGGCATTTAGGGTAAAATCCCATTTTCTTTTCAAAATCAATTCAAAATATCAAAATCAACCATTTACTCACAACTCAACATTATTTTTCACATCAAAACCATTTTTAACGATTCATTTGAAAAATCTCTCTTTTGATTTTTACCCAAAACCCTAGATTTGTTCCAAATCTTTCAAAATCGCAATATTATTTAGAAATAACAAATAACTAAGTTAAAACTTTTAAAAAGTGTGGAGATATCCCTATCTTAAGCTTAGAAGACGAAAGAAAGAATGAAGATACTTCAAGGACGCCAAAACCCAACTTTGTTTGGATCAAAAGGAAGCTTACAGCGTGCTCTATCTTTTTAACAGAGGGACACGAGTGAAGAACTCGACGGATCTAGGTGTATTTGTGGACATAAGGTGAGTTTTAGAGAGAGAGAGAGAGTCTCAATTTAGGGTTTTGAAATGTTTAGAGAGAGAGGTAAAAAAGTGACTCAGAAAAGTGACTTTACGAACTGATATATGCGTAGTTCACTCGAGCACAAGATGTGTCGCTCGAGCGACCGGACACAAATAAGTTTCACTGCTCGAGCGTAAGAAGCTTTGCTCGAGTGCAGAATACAAACTCCTAGTAGTTTTACAGACAGAGGACCGTTGCTTGAGCGCAAGAAGCGTCGCTCGAGCGAAGAATACACACTCCTAATATTTTTGCAGGCCTGCAAAAGTACTGAAGGTTCACAAAGACTGCTCGAGCTCAAGAAGTGTCGTTGGAGTATAGGAATAAAATTTCGAGCATCAACAACTTGAAAAACAAGCTACCAACCTGTTTCAAACGTAAACAACACGTCCTAAAAGCCAAACTCAAAGAGAAATAAGGTGAAACAAAACATGAACAATTGTATAAGACAATGAAACTCAGATCCAAAACATACAATAGGTCGGCTCTAAACCAAAAACGCTATAACACAATTGTGTCTTGAGATTCATGGGTTTTAAAATTTCCATCACATTCAGGATAGAGGAATAGAGAGATATGATAGAGAGATATGAGTACAGAGAATCTTGTGTCTGTGAGTGGGGATATTCAAATTGATTATACCTAGAGATACCAAAGTCATGAATAAGCTCATAGTTAAATGTATCATGGTGCATATTTTAGCAGAGTTGAATTGTTGCACAAGAATATATTATTTTTTTTTATTTTTTTTTAAATTTAATACTTGTTCACGTGCAAAATTGAATGTGCCATATCAATTTGAATTGTTCACTGTAATTTAGCTACAATTTACTTTCTAGTCCCTACCATCATTGTGAGAGCTTTGGGACTCAACAAGATCTAACATGAAACAAAATTTTAACTTCTGTACACAAAGGTCACAAGGTCAGTAAATCAGGATGGTCCGATTTGTCAAATAATTTTTGAGGTTTTACAGTTTGAAAATGTGAAAAACAACTGTAAGGACGGTTGGTAGTATTGAAAAATGTGTATAAAGTGTATTAAAATATACAAAGAATGAATAAAAATTTATAAAAAGTGTTTTAACCTATGCAAAATGTGTATTGAGATTACAAATATTTTGATTTATGTGATTTTTATTGACAGTCGGAGTTGTCATTAGTAAGATCATTTATAATTTTCAACAATTATTATTCTGGTGGCTTAGGTTGTGTGTTTTCTTAGCGGTGCATGATGAGGTGTGAAGGAAAATCTTTAAAAGTTAATTACACTAAAACCATTGAACTATTTGTAAATGTTAATTTATCCCTACATACTTGAATTTATATATTTTGACTCCCTAAATTATAAAAATGTGTCACTTTTATCCTCTTCAAAAAGAGGCATTTGTACTGTTCTTATAGTTGAAATGGTCAATAGTATTACTTACCTAAAAAAAAAAAGGTCAATAGTATGAATTTATAGATAAGGGGGTAAACTAAAATTTATTAATAATTGAAGGGGTCATAATATAATTAATGTATTGTTCAATTAAGGAAAGATGTGAAATTTATTTAGTAGCCTCACAACAGATAGAGCTTCAAAATTCCTCATCATTATTTTCGTTGAATTTCTTTACATATGGGATAAAAATAACCACGTTTCCTATTTTGACAGCCACATTTCCTATTTCTCCTTTCACTCCTTTCCTTTTAAACTTGATTTCTCTTTTCTCTCTCTCTAAATATGAAAAAAATAACCACATTTCCTATTTTGACAACCCAATATCATCATAATCTTATTTAGCCCAGGTTGGCTCTGACATTTTCGAGACCTAAAGCGAATCTCTCGACATGAGACACTTAACGTATCACCCTTAAAGACCACTTCTAATGATATTTCTGACAAGTCTCAAATTTTGATTTGTCAAATATTTCATAATATAGAGTCTAATTTCAATGTTACATCATTAGGGGTGATAAATTAGGTGAACGTAGCATTGTTTTTAACAAACAAAAAATTGTGATAAAAAGATTATATGTCTTTTATTAAAATTTACTTAAATATATAACAAAGTTTACAATAAGAAAAAAATGATCAAAATAATCCAAATTCAAGTACTAAATAAAAAGTGAACAAATTATAACAAAATATCACAATTCTTTCATTTTCTAGTTGCAAAATTGCTAATCAAGCTTGCAATCTAATTTAACAACTAAATCTTTTGCAATGGATAAAATTGTTAATCTATTCAATCTTTCTTGTAACATAATTGGCCAAAAGGTAAGATTTAACCAACTTTAAAATTGAAAAGCTACTTTACATAAACAATTGTAACTAGTATAATTAATCGTACACAATCCATGAATTTGAAAAATAACCATCTATTAATTTTAAATAATTCAGTATATCAATCGACTTTTAATTTTTTTTTTTGTAAAAATAATTATTTATTAATTTTAAATAATTCACCACATCAACTATTGATTAGTTTTAAACTTTTCAAATTCAGGCGAGTTTTTCCCTCTCCCAAATTGGGGCCCTTTTTAAATATTTTTTAGGGCCAAAAGCGACAGCCGTACTGGCTTTAAAGCCAGCCTTTCACCCGACCAAAAACACTTAGGTTGTGTTTACACCATACATTTAGAAAACAGAAATAAAATTTAAAAGGAAAGGACAGAAAAAAGAAATAAAATTTAATAGGAAAGGGATTTGTGGAAGGATCTTAGCTATGTTTTCCATTTTCCGTTACCCTTTACAAGGAAAGAGATTTATGTAGGGATTTTGACTATTCTTTTACTTTCCCATTTTTCTTATTTTTTTTTTACAAATTTAAAATTCAAAGTTCAAATATAATGTTATGTAATTAATTAAGAAAGTCGCTATTCTTACTCCATTTTGTTCCAAATATATTCTATTTTTTGTCTTTATTATACATAGAAAGAAGTGTATGTGGAACAAAGTGGAACGAAAATAATAACTATGTATAATAAGAATAAAGAATGAAATATATTTGGAGTAAAATAAGGTAGGAATAGCGGATCCCTTACTCAAATTGAAACAATTGCAAGGTATACCGACATGAAAAGTTAGTTCATAAGATCCCTTGAAAAAAATACTAGGAAAAAGAAAAAACAAACCTCTCTCTGGACTTGTGAATCCACAAGCGTTGTGATGATATGACCCACAATCCTCTCACAAACTCGTACACATAAGAGAAGCCATTATTATTATTTTTTTCCCAAGTCAACAAATGCTAAACCACATATTTATGTCGTATCATACTAGCATTAAACTTATGTTATACACGGGAGACTTAAAGTTTTATTTTGAAATTAAAAATAGCAAAAGCTCCCATATATAAAGTTCAAGATCTATCTAATCTCCAAACAAAACACTTATACCAATTAGTCTTATATATTTTTAATTGTTACCAAAAAATTCTATTTTTTTTTTCAATTTACAGATGCTGTTACATTCTATTACCGTCAAACTTCCGTCAAATGGTCACCGGAATCTACC